GGCATTCGCATTATATCGGAGTGTGCCTGATTGTTAGAAACTATTTTGGATTGCAGAGAGTGATGGTATTCAGAGTACTACTTGGTCGCCGCCACTTATAGACTTACAGTGCAGCTAGGAATTTTAGACTTGTCTTTGTTGTTCTCGGGCTACGTTCCGTGAGGGCGGGCCTGCTATTAGGGCTCCCTAGATTCGGTTCTTGTTGTTGGTTCTAATAATTCCAAACGTTTTGCCGTTCTTCACTGTCTACAATCGGAAACGAATATAGAGTTCGGCCTTGAACCTCTGATAGCAGGTCGACCCTCACAGAGCGATGACCAGGTACACGCCATGAATTTGTTAGCACATATGAAGTAAAATGATAATTAATAATTAATAATCAAATTAAAACACATTTAATCATTTTCATGCTGGAAAGAATTGACTAATAGTATATTATTCAACGAGCGTATAATGATGGGTATTATTCACGAGGTGAAGTTTACGGCCACGAGCCGCAGGCGAGTGGCCTAAATCACCGAGTGAATAATACCCATTATACGGGAGTAGAATACTATACTTTATCCACGACTATTAAATATTTTTGTTGAAGTTTTTTTTGAAATGATTCGAAAAACATGGTATGTTAAGAAACAGATATACCACTCTCACAAATGAAGTCGCTGATGGCTCAGTGTAGATGCTCTTTCCCTTCCAACCGCGGGTCCCGGGTTCGAATCCGGTCTAGGAAAATTCACTTTTTTAATTTTTTTTTTATATGTACAGCACTGAATTGAAAATATTTAGTGGTTTACACGATAAAATTTTAAAAACGGATTGTTTGTAGCAGAACAATATAATATTATAGCTAAATTAAGGAAGCATCTGACAGTAGTGATTAATGACTCATTAATCACTGCCGTGATTAATGGGTATTATTAAGGTCGAGCAAACAGACGTATAATGGGTACATTATACAATAGTCGTGGATAAACCATTTTTTCCTTATATCTAGTTTTAAATCCGTTGTTGTAATTCTATATATGTCGCTAGATTGTGTAAAAATTTGTTGCTCTTATAATTTTGGTGGTCAAATCATTATCTCCATTCAAACTAATGGAAAAAGTTGAAAATAGAATTAATTTTTAACTAAGATTTTTGAAAATTCGTTTTGTATATTTGATTTGTAATTTTATTTCTAGGTAAACAGATATCTTACATTTTGTTCGAAAAACAGGTCATTTTTATTTTTTAGAATAAAAATAACACCAAAATTATTCGTTTTCCAAAAATATTTATGGTAAAAATAAAATGTAATCAAGAAAAGCCCCGAAATCTAAGTGCTATAGAAAATTTAATTGTCACGTTTCTACAGATTTTAAAATTAAATACTGTTTTCCTATAAAACGAAACTTGTTCTAATTTTTTTCTATAATATGGCTGTTAGTGTGCATTTTTAACTTTAATAGGTACCCATCACTTAAAAAACTGGTTAAAATTATTCCGACATCCTTGAGCGAAATAAGTAAATTGAAAACAATTATGGTGACCCAAATGTCATCTACTTAAGAGATTAAAAGGTTGTTGCTCTGGAAAGCTTTATGTTATTAAGATTTCTTTTTGATAGTTTTTATAAAATGTATCTGCGCAACATACAAAGACAGTTGTCTACACTGGCTTCTTGAAAGCCTTAGACAAGTTGCATTCTGCTATACTAACTTCAGCAACTATTTAAATGACAGAAAACAATTTCTGGAATATCGTGGTTTCACGTCCCTCGAAATTCAGGCTGTTTTTGGGGTACTACAGAGTTATGTCCTTGATCCCCTTTTATTTGCAAGACTTAAGTTGTACCTCTCCAACATAAATAAATACACTTCGGTGCATTATGGCAATCTCCTATAAAGAAAACAGTTTATACTCGTGTTTAATTTTGTAGATTATTTGGCTAAAATCTATAGTGCCAAGTTATATCGTACACATGATGTGAAATATGGGCAGACATCTTCTCAAATATAAATAGGCTTTGGAGAATATCTGGCAAGTGCAAACATGCTTTCGAATGTATTGATATGCAGCATCCACACGATGTGACATTTGCTTACGTTTGGCAAATAATTGGCAAGCGACCGCAACATCTGGAGCCAGCTTTTGTGTGTTGCATGGGACAGTTGGCATATGTTTTGAGTACCTTTATGCTATTTCTATTGAAACGAAAGACGGCACTATGTGGCTTGTATCATTACCTCATGGAATAAGTTGCTTAAATGTTATTTTAATGTGATCAAGCCATAACGGTAACAAACCAAACTATGTAAATTTATTTCTGCGGTTTGTCTAAATTTATGGAATAAGCGTAGTGGTTATTAGTTACGATTAAGTTTAAAGTTTTAGTGTATTCGTAATTAAGTAATAACAAAGATAAATAGTAATGCACATTTTTAACGAAGTCGTTCAGTTTCTTGTATACAGGGATGGCCAGAAGTACGGAATAAAATTCATATCTTTTGAATGAGTTATTATTTTTTTTAAACGCCGAAACACGTTAACAGGTTTTTTTGATTTTTTCCCTTCTTTCCGTTATATAATAATTAATTTTTCTTCAACCCCCTAACCCCAGCTACCCCTACTTTTTTTTCAAATGGAAACATAAGGCATGAGGGGGCTCGTTGAAAAGCTTATAGAAAACCGAATCCAGCCATACCAAATAAACAAGTTTTATTTTTTCAATAACAATTTTTTTTTCATTTAGAAATTGAAACAACTAGATAATTTACAAAAATAAACTCAATGTCGCAAATGCTGAAAATGTCCTCCATTCACTATTTGGCATTCTCCAAGACGATAGTAAAAGCTGTCCACAGCATTCTGAATGACTTCAGCTGGTAAATTATGCATCTCCGCCCTAATCTTGTTCTTTAAATTCTCAATATTATCCGGTCTGTCCTGGTAGACTCTTTCTTTCAAATATCCCCAAAGAAAATAATCCAGGGGTGTTAAGTCGGGGGATCTTGGCGGCCATTCAACTGTACCCCGTCTACCAATCCAGCGATTTGGAAACATTTCATCTAAGTATCTTCGAACATCAATACCAAAATGTGGGGGAGCGCCATCTTGTTGGAACCAAATTCTTTCATTCGGTATATCTGGATCAATTTCATGAGGGAAAATCACAGCTAGAGCAGGTATCAGGTCAAATGTTAGGAAATCCAGGTAGCGTGCGGCAGTAAGATTTTCTTCAAAAAAGAATGGGCCCAAGATTCTGTTGTTGATGATACCTGCCCATACATTAACTTTTTGTGGATGCTGCGTATGCGATTCGCATGTCCAGTGTGGATTTTCCTGGGACCAAAAGCGATAGTTGTGCCTGTTAACCACTCCATTTAAATAAAACGTAGCTTCATCCGAAAAAAGTACGTCTCGTTGAAAACCATTATTGTCGTCACACCGTCTCATCATTTCCTCACAAAATTGTAATCGCCTATCATAATCGTCTTCCAAAAGCTCTTGGACAAGACATACCTTATAGGGGTGGTATTTCTCTTGTTTCAGAAACATTCGAATTGCAGTTCGAGAAGCATCGTGATTGCGGGCCAATGAAACAGTTGAAGTATGAGTATTTTCAACAAGTTCTAATGTAATGTCTAATTTCTTTTCTTCATTCAAAGCACGTGCCCGTCCAGTTTTGGGCAAAGTCTGTACTGTACCGTATTTCTCAAATTTGTGAAATATTTTACTAACTGTCCCTTAGGAGATTTGGTTTTCGGGATATTTCGTATTATATAAATCACGCACTTCAGCCTGACTTCTTATTTTGTCTCCACATCCAAGCAGTATCAAGATTTCGATGCGTTGCCTTTACGACAATACCATCGCAATTCAGTAAATAACTTGATTTTGACACAATAGTAACATTTCGAACTCCAATTTACAACTAAAGCGAAAAATTAACCAGAAAGCCTGGCAAGTAAGTGGTACCAAAAAACGCAACATAAAAAATATATCTTTTTTGCGTTAGCAGTGGTAGATACAGTTTCAAATTCTTTAATTTAGTCTGTGCAAATTCATGGAGGGTAACACCGAAGATAATTAAATTTTATTTCACTTGTTAAGTAGGTGTTTTATACAACCCTAAAAACCTTGCTACTGAAAAAATAAAACTTGTTTATTTGGTATGCTGAATTCGGTTTTCTATAAGCTTTTCAACGAGCCCTCTCATGCCTTATGTTTCCATTTGAAAAAAAAGTAGGTGTAGCTGGGGGTTAGGGGGTTGAAGAAAAATTAATTAATATATAACCGAAAGATGGGAAAAAATCAAAATCAGTTAACGTGTTTCGGCGTTTTAAAAAAAATTAACTCATTCAAAAGATATGAATTTTATTCCGTACTTCTGGCCATCCCTGTAGATACTAGATAATATTAACAAAGTAATTAAATAATTTTGTATAGAACATTATAAGTATTTTCTTAATTGAATAATGAATAAAATTCATTAGAAAAAACGTAAATTTATTACCTGAAAATATTTTTGCTATAATCCCGCACTTTAGGTACTTTTATTAGTGTTTTAATATTGTTTGCTATAACTCTGCACAAGCATGGATTTTTATGTTTACCTTTCAGGATTTGAATCGCAAAAACAGTGAATGCCGTGCCTCATGAAAAAGCATTAGTATTTCATTTCAATAACGCGAAAAGTAATAATATTACATTGTTTTCGCTCAGAAATGATGATAAAATACCAGGAACGAACTTTGAAACCGTAAAAATGCAATTTTAATAGAAATACGGGTTATATCTGGGAAAGCGCGATGGATTTTTTCATCACATTTTCCAGCGGGAAAATGTATGCTCTAAAAGAAACCGGAACAATTTAATGAAAACTATAAAATATCCGGAATGCGAATTTGTGCCCTAAATTATTAAAATTACTACTTGTTATTTACAGTTGACGCAGTTCCATCTCTGTCGTCTCTCTCCGACTTTCTCTGTCGCTGGCAGCGGGGCTCGCATAGACGGAGGGAAAACTGGAGAACGGGGGGTTTGCACGGACACCTCCAGAGTTTTCTTTACAGGTAAGTTGTTGAAATAATCGTTAGTAATTAATAATATTTGACACGCGCATAAGCAAAAGTGCTCTTTGTTTTTAATGGAACACATATTTTCAAAACAAAAAGGCTTAATTAAAAAAAATAAATAAAAAATAGTTAAAAGAAATACAGGGTGTTAATGAACTTATCTCAAATATTTTTGCCATATGTCCGTTATGTCAAAATGAGGTAAATATACGGATTTGTCTTGAGTAAAATGTAATTTTAAAATCTGACTTACCTCAACATGGCAAAGAGCCACCTTTTGAAAACTGCTGATTTTCATAGATGTTCGATGTATCCACCATTTGCTTGCACACAGGCTTCAGCGCGACGTATCCAATTCGCTCGCGCGCGTTGCAGCCTTGCCACGTCCTCTCGAATCGTATTTCAAGCTTCATTAATACGATGTCGCAGTTGGTCGATGTCACGAACTTCCGAGAAATACACAACACTTTTCACATATCCCCACAAAAAGAAGCCTAAAGGGATCTTCCAATAACTCGGGCAAGCGATTTTGCAAAAAATCTCGGTATGAAGCACCGTCTAAGCGTCTAGTCAAAAGTGTAATTAAGGATACGAGCCCACATGTTCACTGAAAACTATTGCTGAAAGGCACCGCGACGTATTTCATGTGGATTTTCGATAGTTCAATGGTGAGTGTTGTGGACGTTACGTACACCATTTCGACTGTACATGCTTCATTTGTAACAAGTACTCGCGCTGTAAATTGAGGATTTCTTGCATGTTCCTGAAGCAACCATTCGCAAAAACCTCGATGTAGTGGAACACCCTCAGGAGTAAGCGCTTGAGCACGATGAATATCGTCGCATATACTTTTCTGCAACAGCTGTTTTGTTTTATCGCTGTTTATAGAAGTTTATACAGCCAATATTACTTTCGTCTCTCGTGATGATCCTTTGAATGAATGTTGTTATTGGATTGTTCTAGGAGTCGCCGAAAAACGTACATACGATTTTCTTTCTCTTGTTCGGTCATCAGACGAGGAATAAATTTTGCTGCAACTCGATGCATGTTCAAATTTTCATTCAAAATTTCATGGCCAATTGAGATGCTAACCTCTTCTGCAATTTATCTGACAGTCAATCGGCGATTTGCACGCACCAGATCTTTGAGTTTTTGAACGCGGGTGTCATCAGTTGAGGTCGAAGGTCTTCCTGGTTTTGTAATTCGTGAAAACCATTCGTGACCATTGCACAGAACTTGTTAAGTACGCCGCCATATTTTATCATATATCATACAATATACAGGGTGAGTCAGTTTTTTGTGGTAGGATTTTAACAGTTGATAGAGATTCATTTTTTAATAAGAAAAGTTTCTATAAACGTAGGTCTTAGAACGCTTCGTTTGTGAGATATAGGGTGTTGAAAACAAAATTTTTTTAAGAATTTTTCTTAATATCTCTTAAATACCAACATATATTGAACTGAAATTTGGTATTAATAACACATTAGTTATAGTGAATAAAACAAAGATATCTGTTATCCATTTCACACACCAGTGACGTGCCTGAGGTGAGTTACTGCCCCCTTCAAAAAATAATTCGCACGCCCGTGAATTTTTCTGGAAAATAACATTTCTAATTTTTTTAGTCAATTCTAAACAAAACAGCTGTCTTTCATTTTTTTATAAAATGAAGGGTTTTCGGTTAAATTCATTTGGCATGAAACTGTTCCAACAATATTGGTACCTAATACATTTGTGAATTAATAAGAAAAATATGATGTGCACTGAAAATCAACAAAAACGATTGAATGAATAATAACAGTTAATAGAGAAGCATATTTTAATAAGAAAAGTTCCTATAAACATAGGTCTTGAAACGCTTCGTTTGTGAGATATAGGGATATAAGGCCAATAGATATTAAACTGAAATTTGGCATGAAAAAACAAACACAGAACTTAAAAAAAAGAACTAATTGACACACACGTTACACAATGTTTGCGTTCTTATGTTAACGTTATGACATTTAATCGTTTTTGTTGATTTTCAGGGTACATCATATTTTTCTTATTACAAATGTATTACCAATATCGTTGGAACAGTTTCATGCCAAATGAATTTAACCAAAAACCGTTTATTTTATAAAAAATTGAAAGAGAGCCGTTTTGTTTAGAATTGATTAAAACATTTAGAAATGAAGTTATTTTCCAGAAAAATCCTCGGGCGTACGAATTATTTTTTTAAAGGGGGCAGTAACCCACTTCAGGCACGTCACTGGTGTGTGAAATGGATAACAGATATCTTTATTTTATTCACCATAACTAATGTGTTATTAATAGCAAATTTCAGTTCAATATATGTTGGTCTTTTAGAGATATTAAGAAAAATTCTTTAAAAAAAGGTTGTTTTCAACACCCTATATCTCACAAACGAAGCATTCTAAGACCTACGTTTATAGGAACTTTTCTTATTAAAAAATGATTCTCTATCAACTGTTAAAATCCTACTACAAAAAACTGACTCACCCTGTACATTTGTAATATTTATAAATTAAAATTTTAAGAGTATTTTATTTATTTAGGAAAAATTATCAATCTGTTTTATAATTTTAATGTAATGTTTAATAATAATTAATAAAAGTTCTTTAACGTGCTCTCGCAGCTATTCGAGTTACTATTGAATTGAGCTAAGTTTAATTAGCAGGTCTTATTTTGATCTTGAATAAATTGACTCCTTGTATATCCACTGGCATTTAAATCTAATAATGAATATTTTGTGCTAGTAGTGTCACATATTGGAAAACATTTTAATGGCCGAACATATTTTTATTCAGTGCAAAATTTTCCCATTGAACGGCATAATTATTGCCAGCTTTTAATTTTCATTTTCGTTTTTATTTTGCTCTTTGTTAAAAAACCGTTGTGATCAAAGAAAACCGTCAACATTTACTGCATGTAGTTTAGTTAATTCTAGCGCTGTTTAAAAATTTTAAATAGTGAATTATGCCGGGTGACCCAAGTCACTTGGAATTTGAAGTAGATACACAATTTTTGCTTATTTATGTTAAAATAACTTTTTAACATTTCTATGGAATGCTGAAACATGTTTAATTTAGTTATCTCATCGGACTGTTATATTTTCAGTGTTATTTTACGGATTTAGAAATAATAGCAGCCTTTATAAGTAGCCATAATAAGGCTTAGTGCGGAGTTTAACAGGACCGTAGTCAGATTACGAATAAAAATATTTATATGTTTACAGAAAATATGTCGCAACATAGCACTATTGCCAAAGAGCAAGGCTAAGTAGAGGATAAAATACCTGTATAAACCACATTTGAAATAATTCCCGTCTATTTATTTTCTCTTTTGGCATTTTACTTCACTTTTTCCCCCAACTAATAGTTGTTAATGTAAATTATGTTACTATTTATAAATAGTTATTCAAATGCACATGGCAAATACAGTTTACAGCAGACGTAAATAAAAATGGTATCGACGCGACACCAACTACTACAAAGTTCCGAAAATAACAACAGTTCAAAACGCGAATCAGCTGTGAATGCCACCGACCCTCGCGCCGGCTCTGTTAGACTCTGCACGTGCACTAAGCCTAGCCATTATATACGAAATTAGTCACTTGTTTTAAATTTTATTTTTCTTATAAATTTTTGTGTAAAATAAAGTGGCTTGGCCAATTTCCAGGTAGATAAAAATACAACATTTTTACCTTGATAGAATAAGTTCTAGTTACAATCGTTAAAATGTTAGTAATAATTAAAAATGTATTGTAGTGTTGAACCAAAATAAGCAAAAACTTAATTAGTGTGCCCCATTTGAGTTTCGAAAACTCTGACTACTTATGATTAAACCGCAAATGATTTTTCTTCCAACAAACTTTGAGAAAGTTGCAAATAATGCTACGAATAGCAAAATATCCATCCAGTGTCAAAAATTAATGGGTGATATAAAAAGGTTCACTACACCCAAGTTTGTAAAATTTTAATTAATTAATGGCACCGATATCCTTTTAAGGAAGGGTTCTAATGCATACAGGTAATATATCCCTGAGAGAAGAAATGGCATTAAGTTAAACCCATTTCGCCCTTACCATTTTAAAATTTTAATTGATAACTTTCGCCGAACACGCGGTATAAATACTTGTCTGAAACTTTTTCTTGCGGCGTAGTAGCTAATGTTTTGGCTAAATAAATGAATGCATATTTTGTGTTTCATTAGATGAGCTTTAAGGGGTAATTTAGCATTAAGTAAGCTTTAGTTGGTTGGCGTTAGGTAGAAAAACAGTGGGAAAAGTTTTAAAGAGTCATCTTTCCTTGCCTGTAAATTCTGAACTTTTGCCATAAAGACGGGGCAATCGATAAAATTAATTTTTGTTATTAACGATTATAATATATTACTCGGAAAAGCGTTAAGTTTTTCTTTAATTAATTCTTGGTGGAAGCCGTTGAAATATCTGGCTTTTAATTTAATTAAGAAAAGTTATTTGGAGGTCTTTTTTCCTTAAAATTCTACAGTTGCTTTCTCGGCAATGCTACGACATTGTGAAATTCCACCTTAAAGTAAATATCTCGACACTTTCTAGAAAATTGCAGTTTGAATTTAAGAAATATGTTATGCTTTATGGATTCTAACAAATAATGTATAGTTTTACGTGTCACTTAAATCTTGATATTGCAACACGCGATTTGATTTAAATGCATTTCCATGGAATTTACATTTCGCTTCACAATACTAAGTTGCATTATTCACATTTAATATAACTTTTGCCGAGATAAATGCGTAGGACATAGCTGTTTGCTTGGTTTTTTATTAGGATCCAGTTTCTTGTATAAAAATTGATTATTACAGAAAATAGCCCGAATGGTAATGTACCTCTAGTCCTCCAGTCTCTCTTAGTTACACAACTTTCTTATATGCCGGAATGAAATATGTATCTAGTGGTCTTGATTTTTAAATATTTTCTAGGTACTGTTTGCCAGATATTCATTTTTAACGTTATA